AGATGTGTTGGTGCTGCCAGCGGTCTGTGGTACTTTCCATCATCTTTACAAAAACCATCATCAGTGACATTATCAGGAGGCTGTGCAGTCATTCCCGAGAAAAGGTGGCGAGACTGTGAGGAACAGAGCCTGGAGTCAGGCATCCACACGGGTTTTGCTCCCTTTGGGGATTCCTGCTATGTTATTCAGAGTCGCTGGGTGGTGGGTTTGGTTATCAGCTGCTGGTAAAAGACCGGAGATCCCCGTCGGAAGAAAGGCCTGGCAAACCCTAGGGAGTGAAAACGCTTCGGGAAGAGGAGGAGGATGAAAATGGTTGCAAACCTGGTGTTTGTCCTGCTGAACCCATTTTCAACAACAACAAGAAGAACACAACTGATACATACTCATGCGGAACCGATGCATTTAAATTGTGGTCGTGGCAAAGCATATTGAAAGTACCAAGGACTACCAAAGGAACCAACCAATCTGTCTTGGAAGAAGTACAGCCAGAGGGTTCCTTAGAAGCAAGGATGGTAAAAGATCATCTCACGTGGTCAGGGGAGACCAGTCTCTGGAGAAGGACACCGTGCTTGCTAAAGTGGAGGGCAGTGGGAAGAGGAAGACCGTGCATGAGATGGATTGCCCCAGTGGCTGCAGCAACGGGCTCCAGCCTAACTCCCTGGTGAGGGTGGGGCAGGGCTGGGCAGGGCTGCCTTCTGTAGAGTCCATAGGGTCACTCTGGATCAGCACCGTCAAAAGCACCTAACAACGACGACGACCTAAATACAAAGAAAACCATGTGAATAACACGGACCTACTCTGACGCACGGGGTCACTATGCATTGAAATCACTTTCCAGCACCTGGTGGTGGGGTGCCCAGTTACTAAACACTCTCGAGTCCATTTGCTTCCTCTGTTCAGTGGGAGGATATGCAGTCCTCCCTCCAGGACCGGCATCCTCAAACTACGGACCCGCGGGCCACATGAGGCCCGCCGAGGACATTTATCCGGCCCGCTGGGTGTTTTTGCCCAGTTTGTTTTTTTACTTCAAAATAAGATATGTGCAGTGTGCATAGGAATTTGTTCATAGTTTTTTTTTTAAAACGATAGTTCGGCCCTCCAACGGGTCTGAGGGACAGTGAACTGGCCCCCTGTTTAAAATCTTTGAGGGCCCCTGCTCTAGGACTTGGGGCGAATGAAATAGCAGAACATTCAGGAAGCCCTCAGTACCTGACAATGTCTGCAAGCTATGCTTAGGGGTCATGAGGATGGCGCAGGGCTGAGCAGTGTTTCATACTGTTGTGTGCCTCCTAAGGTCCCTGGGGGTCAGAACTGACCCGGTGGCTTGTCACAGCCACAACATATAAAGCCCTGTGGCCTGGGCAGGCACACTGTCAATGTTCGAAAACAGGAAGCGATGGACAAGGGAGTGCTCCAAACATTGAACCGCCATTTTTTTTAAAAGGCAATTTTAATAACACAGAACTCTTTGACTGGAAGGCACTTAATAGTAGCCAGTCTGGAGGTTTGCAATTATGTTTCTTTGATGCCTTAAAGTCTATTCTGACTCACAGTGACCCCAGGTGACAGAGTAGAAGTGCCCTACAAGGTTTTTTAGGGTATATGGTATAGCATCTTTACAGGGGTGTCCTGGGGCAATGCTTAAGCACTTGGCTGCTGCATGAAAGGCCGGTTCGAACTCCCCCGGAACCTACTGGGAGGCCCCGAGCTGGCAATCTGCCCCTGTGAAGGTTCAGCCTAGGAAGCCGGATGGCTCCACACTACTCTTGCACGCAGGGTTCCTGTGAGTCAGAATTGACAACACACTGTTTACAGGAACAGATCCCCTGGGCTTTCTCCCTCATAGCCTCTGAGTGGGTCCCTCCGCTAACCTTGCCGTTAGCAGCCGAGGGCACACAACCAACGTTGCTCCGTGAGGGCCCTTTGACAAGACTCTTCTGACGAGACTGGTGTGTCAGAGGAGTAAGCGCCGAGCTGGGCCTAGGTAGCATGGGGCTTAGCTCTGCCCTTCTCTTGGCGTGGCCTCATCGCCCCTGGAAGGCTCTGGGAGAGCTGACATCGGTTGGACCTGAACACTCATATTTGGTCCAGTTCCACCACTTCACTGATTGGGGAAGGGCCCCCAAAGTGGATGTATTTTCCACCAAGTGTCACAACTGGAGCTACCACCCGCTTTCCAGTGTCGGTGCTTCCCTGGGACACAGTGACCCCCAAACAGACAAGCCCAAAACGTGTGGGCACGTCAGAGGGGACTTTTCAGGAGAACCTTCCAAAGCTCAACCGCAGCATGTCCACGTCAACTGTTCTTTCACATCAGCGATCTTGTGGGTGGCGGCCGTTTCTGTTTCCCTGTTTATTTTTCAGCTGTTTCTGGTGCCACTGAAAGCACTTCCTGTGTGCTTCCAGAACCTTCTACCACTCTTGTGGACAAATACCAGCTGTGTAAGTTTCCCTGAAACTTGACCGGAAACAGCTTCACCCCATCTTGCTCCCTCCACTTTCGCCTTCGGGGATGCCTTCCGGTCCTGGGTGAAATTCGGTGATGGTTAAATGTTTTCACCTCTGGGGCATCTATTTCACTTGAACCCCTTGACCAGAGTGTTCTTGCAGGCCTATTAACGCGGCCCCGAAATATAAACACAAAGCTGACTCAGTGAGACGCTGAACTCAGTGTATTTTCTTTCCAAGATAAGACTATGTTTGTACAAACAACCTTGAACTTTATTTGGAAAAAGGGGGGGGGGGATGTAATGCAATTTATGACTGCCGGGCTCTTTCCAAACAGGGCTGATTTCCTGTTAGGTTGTTCATGTTGTGTTTCAGTTCTTGTAGAAATCGCTTTCTGTTTACTTCCGAGAAAGAAGAAGACTAGAGATGGGGGTGGGGACGGCAGGGTTCTTAATGTAATCAGGAAAGCGGATGCAGAATCTCCTGGCACGGACTTCTACCTGGGGCTGGGCAGACAGGCCTCAGTTTCTTGTGCGCCGCCGCACAGACCGTTGCCATGGTTTCAGATGGAAAGTTGGTGACAGCCCTGCATCCAGCAGCTCTGTGGGTGCCGCTTGCTCTACCGTGTGCTCACTTCTCATGGGTCACACTTTGATAACTCTTACAAGATGCCCGGCTCTCTCCTAGTGCTGTGGCACACTGCATAGCCAGCAGGACCGTGTCGACGTCACTTCAGTCTACCCTGGGAAGCCGCAAATGTGTATGCGACTCGTTTGACCGCATTACTTGTCCGTTTGTTTGTGGTGATCTGGAAATGTACTGGCAATATGGCCAAGGTATGACTTTAGTGTCCTTTGAAAATTATTATTTTTTTTTTGTAAAACACTTTGAAAATTATTCTTTGGGAATTAAAAAAAACAAACCATCCCTGGAGGGACTCCTTACCAAGCTCACGCATAGCGCGGAGTGGGTGCTCTTGAGAAATGACCATTGACCGCAGTCAAGAGGCGTCTTCCTTGTGTATCGGGCATGTTGGGAAACTGCAGTGGTCGCACAAACGGTGCACGTGCTCAGCTGCTAATCAAAGGGCCGGAGGTCTAAGCACCCCCAGAAGCACGGTGGAAGAAAGCCTCACCATCCTGGGCCCAATGCACCCTGGCAATCCTCTTTCATGGGACACAGGTCTACCCTGATACACCTAGGGTCATCAGGCGTCCGGGAGTCAATTCAATGTCATTTGGAACTGGTTACCACAGGAAAATACAGATTGAGATGGCAGCCTACTGAGTTGAAAGAATTCTGTAATTGAAGTAAAAGAGTACTACTACTAGAACAAAGTCAAAAAGCCTCCTCCTGGGGGGCCGGGGGGGCGGGGCAAGAGAAAGGGGGAACTGATAGTAAGATGAATATATAACACCCCTGCCCCCAGGAGGACGAGCAACAGAAACGTGGGTGAAGGGATATAGTAGACGGTGTAAGATGTGAAATAAGAAGAAGAATATATAATTTATCAAGGGTTCATAAGGGGAGAGAGTGGGGAAGGGAGGGGAAAAGAGAAGCTGATAATAAGGGCTCAGTACAAAGATAATGTTTTGAAAATGACGATGGCAACATATGTACAAGTTTGCTTGATATAATTGATTTGTGGATTGTTATAGTATCTATAAGAGCGCCAATAAAATGGTTTAAATTTTTTTTTAAAAAGCCTCTTTCCAGGAACTCAAGGTTTCCATTCCTTGACCAATAGGGCTAGTTTTGAGGCAAAATTAATTTAGGGACAAATCGATGTGAGAACAGTAACTAATCTTAATTGAGCCCTTACTACCCACCAGGCCCCAATCTCAGAGCCTCAGGTAGTGTGTCCTATTTAACCTTCACAACCGGGGCTGGTTGTTACCATCCTTATGTCACGGAGGAAGGAGCAGGGCTTCCGTCACTGGTGGAGGAATTTGAACCCAGGCAGTCTAGTTCCTGAGCCTCATTAGCCCCTAACCAACCGACCCAACTGACGATGGCCGGAAGCCGTGATTTCCCTTCCTATAAACAAGGTACTCCACAGCTGGCATTTCTCAGGTGATTGTGGTTTTTTTTTTGGTTTTTTTTTACAAAGGCTCCGTAATAGCCTACTTTTCTGAATTTTGGAGACAGGGGAGGAAGAAAGATGCACGAAAGCCGTCAGAGGGTTAAATGTTTTTCTTCTTGCCCTGACTTGACAGTTTCATAAATCACTTGTCTATTTGGCGTCATCCACGAGACCTGGCATTTCTTGGAATGCACTTCTCTTGAGTCACCGTAGGCATCTCATAGGAAGTACCCAAGGGATGACACCAGCCCAAGGGCGTTACAGGTACATTACTCCTACTGGAACAGATGGTAAAACGGAGGCACCAGGAGGAGGCCATTGGCCCAGTCCCATGACTCTCTCCAGAGCAGGCACTAACCCCGCGTTCTGCATCCCAGGGCAGTCCTCTGGTCACTAGGCAGCCCCGCCCCATGCCCACCGTAAGTTTGTTGTGAGCTCAGGAATGATCCAGCCCACTCTTCTCTTTTAGGTCCCGGCTGGCTCCTAGGAGACATTGATTTGTGCCCCAGGAAATACTGCTTTGCTGAGTTGTCTCCAAGTCAATCATGAACCAGCCAGACCCTGCCGATGACCCAGACTCCAGCTCGGAGCCCCTGTGTGTGGTGTGTGGTCAGTACCACTCCCCCGAAGAAAACCACTTCTACACCTACACCCAAGATGTCGACGACGATCTCATCTGCCACATCTGCCTGCAAGCCTTGCTAGACCCCCTGGACACTCCCTGCGGACATACCTACTGTACTTTCTGCCTCACCAACTTCCTGGTGGAGAAGGACTTCTGCCCCGTGGATCGCAAGCCTTTGGTTCTGCAGCACTGCAAGAAGTCCAGCATCCTGGTCCACAAACTCCTCAACAAGTTGTTGGTGACCTGCCCTTTCACAGAGCACTGCTCCGAGGTGCTGCCGCGCTGTGACCTGGAGCATCACTTTCAAACAAGGTAAGCCCTGCTTCCCGGCTCCCCTGCGAAACCCCCTCATGGGGGCAGCTGAGAGCACCCCTGGGCTCCCAGGGGTGTGTCTGGCTTCAGATGCCCCAGATGCACCATGAGATTTCTGTTATTCTTTTACCTTGTCACCAATGAAGGAAATCAATTCCAACTAAGAAACATTTTACGTCTTAGTGGGGCTGATTCAGTGTGAAGAGGCAGCAGATGACAACAGATGGTGTTATAAGTGTATGTGTGTGTGTGTGTGTGTGTGTGTTTTACTTTACTTGGTGGAAAATGCCATATATACTTGTGTATAAGCTGAGTTTTTCAGTACATTTTTTATGCAGCTTTTGTGGTAAAATTGGATGCCCCAGCTGATATTCGGGTCGGCTTATACTCAAGTATATACGATACGTAGCAGAGCTTATGCCAAGTCAACTCTCTACAAACAGAGTTCGGGGACATTGATTACGTTCTTTACAATGTGCAACCATTCTCACTTGTCCTGTTCTGAAGTATCCCTCCCTCCTATGCGTCTCACCTAATCTTTTGAGATGCTGTGTCATTTTTTTTTTTTTTTGCGTTTGACATTTATTTTTTTAACATTTTATTAGGGGCTCATACAACTGTTATCGCAATCCATACACACATCAATTGTGTAAAGCGCATTTGTACATCATTTTGAAACCATTTTCTCTCCACTTAAACCCCTGACATTAGGTCCTCATTTTTCCCCTCCCTCCCCGCTCCCCCCTCCCTCATGAGCCCTTGATAGTTTATAAATGGGTATTTTGTCATATCTTGCCCTGTCCGACGTCTCCCTTCACCCACTTTTCAGTTGTCTGTCCCCCAGGGAGGAGGTCACACACAGTTCCATGTAATCGGTTCCCTCTTTCCTACCCATTCTCCCTTTACCCTCCCTGTTTTGCTGTGTCATTTTTGATCCCATGAAGTTCAGTGTTTAAATGAGCACATTGTTCAAGGCAGATACTCTTTATTTACTGATTAAGTTACACTTGTTTGGTTTCAAAAAGACTTCAGGGGATAATTCTGATTTAAGGTTTAAAGATTATTTTAGGGGTGCAGGATTTTTTTTTGAAGGGGAGGGGGGTTACATCCAGCATTGGTGGCTCCAGAAAGTCTGGATTCCGTTGAGAATTTGAAATTCCGATCTTTATCCTCCACTTTTGATCAGGATTCTTTACAGAACCTTTGATCAAAACAACAGTAAGGATTTCCAAGAGCTGGTTTTTCTAGTCTTGTGACGGAGGAAGCAGTAGTTCTTGGAGTCAATTAGACATACATTCTATTTCCTCCTCCAATTCCTTATTTTCCTTCTTCCTTTGTTGCTCTAGATAATTAGAGACCAATTATTGTACTTTAGATGTCCACTTGCAAGCTTACTCTGAGATGCACTAGGAAATAAAATTATTAGACCAATTGACTTGGGTGTCTGATGAAACATGATCCCAAGCCTCCAAAGAAGGAGCCAAATCCTGGAAGATGTGTGGTTATACATAAGTGGCACCAGCAGCTCTTCTATTTGTGTGTGTGTGTGTGTGTGTGTGTGTGAACATATATATTCACACAAAATCTTCCAACGCAACATTTTTTGCGAATAGTTTCATGATATCAATTACTTCAATCACGATGTAATTTTTGAGGGGAGCGGGGGCCATCCAGCCGAGTGGCTTCAGAAAGTCTGGATTCCATTCCAAATGCACTCATACTCATTGAATTGTGTGGGTTTTGAAAGATGGAAAACAGTGTGGGAAATCCCAGATGAACAGCTTTCTCCGAGGCTCATGATTCCCATAAAGGTGAACATTGCTTATTTGTTTCATTAGGAAAAAAAATTCTGCTTATTGACCACTGATTATTAGAATCAACTCTCTATAGGAGTTAAGAAGGTATATGGGGGATTCAATAAGGCCACCATGCTTGGTAAAGTCAAGGCGCAGCCAACATGAGGGAAAGCTCCCTGGTGAGATGGGCTGGCACAACAGGCAAAATAATGGACTCATATATAGCCACCACGGCAAGGATGGCACAGACATTGGCAACATTTCATCCTATTGTACAAAAAATCACCAGAGTCAGAACCAACGTGGAGGTCCCCACTGGACAGTAACTGACAACTGTGCCACCAGGGGCTGAGGATCTGAGGTGCATTTTAGGAAGTTTTAAGAGGAGCAGGTGTTTGTCCCCCAAATGACTCATTCGGTCCAGCCAAGGTGTGCAGGCTGGCAGAGCTATGGCGGTATGGTCTCTTCTGATGGTCCACATCACCTGCTCCACCGGACTGCGTCTTATTTTGTCCACTGGCACTGTGCTGTTCCTGGGAAGTCTCGGTATGGAGAGACTCAGGAGTGGCACTGTGTGTGATTCCCTATGATGTGCACTCATAAGACATTCACAGTGCTTCCTGAAGGGGGGATGATAATGCCGGTGGTTGGCATTTTTACAATGATTTTGTAAGAGGAAATGTGGAAGCTGATATTTATCCTGGTTCCTGTCCTGACAAGGGCAGGAGGCAGGTACGGGTTTTTGTTGTGGTGGTTGTTGTTGTTGAAGGTCATCTACCTTGGGTCCTGAATCTGAGTCTTTTTCTTTGGGGATTCTGTAACGTGGAGCTGGTCATCCAAAGCCATGGCCTGAGTTGTAATGCTTAGCACAGTTTTCCAGACTAATTATGTTGAACCCTTTTTTTCCTCCCCAAGATGCAGAACCAAATGTATCTCACTTGGCTTTAAGTAGGATGAAGGGGCACGGGTGGTTCAGTGGTAGAATTCTCACCTTCCCTTGGGGAGATGCGGATTCAATTCCCAGCCAAGGAGCCTCCTGCGTGAAACCACTGTGGTCCGTGGAGGCTCACGTGTTGCTGTGGTTCTCAACAAGTTTCAGCAGAACTTCCAGAGACGAAGGCAGGCTAGGAAGGAGGGCCTGGTGATCTACTTCCGAGAGTCAGCCAGTGAGAACTCGGGAGATCTATCCACAACTGATTGTCGCGATGGCACCAGACCAGGCAGCATTTCATGCTGTTGTGCTTGGTGTCACCATGGGCTGGGGCCACGGGGCCAGCAGCTCATAAACTAAGACTCCCTACTTCTCTACCTCCCAGGGAGCAGGAGGCTGAGGGAGTCTCTGTGCGACCCTGGATGCAAGGTTCACCCAGTTTGATGGGCTTTGTCCAGAGGGAGCAAGCCAGGAGTCAAAGGCCGGAAGGTGCTGGCAGGTGCTGGTGCAGGGTTAGTGCCAAAATCAGGCCACACCCGATGGGAGGTGGGGGAGGAGGTGAGGAACAGGAGGAAATCAGACCCTGGAATAGCTCCCTCCGCACACATCACTTTCCTGGGCATCTCAGGTGTTACCCTCCGCTGTCGGATCCTTCACAAATAACACCTGTGCTATCCCACAACTCTCCTCCTTACCTGCATCATGTCCACCCCGAGGTGGGCATAGTCTCTAGGAAGGAACACAGTAGACATTTGTTGGGGACTGTCGTCACATCCTACAGCTGCTCTATAACAAGCGATCACAAATGCCGTGATTTAAAGCAACGCAATGTTCCTGTCTTTCAATAACTTTTCATTGTGAGTTGGGTAAAGGTTCACAGAGCAGCTCATCGGTTTTGCACTTGATAGTTCGTACGTGTTTTGTTTCAGCCCATCCGGTGCAATCCCTCACTGTATCATCACTTGCCCCTCTGCCTTCTTGGACTTCCTCTTTCCATCCTCCCTTCTCCCCTAACCCTGTGTACCCTGCCTATGGACAAATGATGGCCTTTTGGTCACATCTGGTTGATTGAGTTCAATTCCAGACCTGAGGGATGACTGGTGGTGCTAGTAGTGGGGGTTCCAACCAGTCTCTCTTCAACCCATAAGCCTGGTCTCTTTTATGATTTGGGGTTTTGTTCCATATTTGACTCCCACTCTATCCGGGACCTTCTAATGTGATCCTTTATAGAGCGGTTAGTAGGGGGTAGCTGGGCACCATCTAGTTCTTCTGGTCTCCAAATTCTGGTGGCTGATGTCTGCAGGGTTCACCTGTCTATCGGACTGATTGAGCCTATATGTCTTTCCAACATTATCATCCTTCTTGCCTCCAGATGAACAACACAAATGTCTTATCTGACAGTTAGGGTACTCAGAAGTCTGAATGGGTCTTCTGTGACTCGGATCAGGACTGCGTTTCTTCCGAAGGCACTAGGAGAAAAAGTCTCCCCTTGCCTGTGGAGGCTGCCTGCACTGCTTCCTGCAGGCTTCGCTTCCAGCATCTTCCAAGCCAGCCACATAGCATTTCCGAATTGCTCTGCCTCCTCCATAGGTGGTGTAGTGGGCTATGCATTGAGTAGTCCTATAAAGAGTTACAGTCAGGCAGTTCTGCTCTGCCTGTAGGGTGGGCGCAGTCCCCTTTGCCATGTAGCACATTCACAGGTCCCAGGAGTTGGTGTGGACATTTGGGGTGGGGAGGTGAGGGGGGGTTATTGTTTTGCCCATCACAGTTTTGATTGGGGCGGCGCAAGAGGGAGGAAAAGGAGTGGAGGTCCTTTCTGGAGAGCAAGTGAACGTGAAGCAGCTGAGGTTCATAAGCTGGGGTTCAAATCCATTCAGAAACGGATTTGGAGCCAAGCATATCAATAGCCACAGAGCTAATGGGCACCCGGTTCTGAGGACACAGCTGGCACCGAAGTGGGGAAAGGGCAGGGCTGGGAAGAGGCCCTTGGCCATCGACAGGGAGTCCGGGAGAGAGACCTCATACATACTCAGTTGCTGGAGCTAAATTTCATTCACCCGCCCACACAGCGTGTGTGACCCACACACCTCAAGGAAGCCCAGGGTGCAGGCTTCATTAACACTCCTCCTGATAATGATATGCACTTTTAGAAAACAACAGTGTGGAGGAAAGAACCCAGGACTAAGGGAAATTACATCACTTTTCTGAGCTGTGGCCCATCGGAGTCCTTCACAGGCACCAGTCAGCTGGTCTGTGCAGAGGAAAGCTCCCAC